TCGGCTGCCTTGAAGCAACATGAAAACGCATGCACACACACACACACACACACACACACACACACACACACACACAAAAAAGCACACTTGCTGACACACAGTAATTGACAATCTGATTTAGATAAAACATTTATCATGCGCTACTCTTTCTGCATTTTCTAATGTGAAAATAGTTTAGAAGTGAAATGTTTATTTTGACAACCGTAACCCAAGTAAATCAGTAAGGGTTTAAGACAGAACTGTAACATTGTTCAATCATAAAACAGCTTTTGATGTGACAAAAGCTGCTTCAGCTCTGACAATAAATCACTTATTGCTTTTGGCTGCTTCCTTGTTTTGTCCCAAATGATAATTTTGTGAAAATGTCAATGTTATTATTTAACATTTTCATAACTGTTGTTGTTGTTAAATATAACTTGTGTGGCATTATTTAGAGTTATATGTACACTGCTGTGTAGGGACTGCTTTATGACACATCACGCTTAAGAAACGCAGTTAGTTCCACAATCCAGCACCACCGCTCAGGTTATTTTGGTGCATGGAGCAACACTGTATTTGCAATCCGTTTTCTTTCCTGGTCAGGGTTTTCTTGAAGTGAAGTATTCATAATCTTAATGTGGCACCACCTGACCAAATAAATGTCAGTAAGGGAAGAAAAGAAAGAAAAAGAAAAGCTGCTTCTTTAAACAGCCTATACTTATTAAGAATATAGTTGAATATTTGATGACGACCTCAAACATCTGATTAGAGTAACTCCACCTCCATACATAGTTCTGGTTTGACCCCCATTTAAACAGTTGGGGAATGTAAAGGTCTTTGGCTGAAGTAAAACACTGTTTCAACTGTACCCAACCCAGCTGAACAGGGAAAACAAAACAAAGCAACGATCATGTCACACAACATAACAAAACGCTTCTCTCACAGACGTCACATGCATACATTGAACATTTATTCCTTCAGCTATTTAACGCTTCAGTTAATAGGTGAACTGTGTTCCTGTGTGGTTTTCTAATATTTGACATGGTCTGGCTTCAGCTCCTCTGTAGAACATTGTCCACTGAATGCAAAACACACAGTGCACAGTCAACATCTGGAAGACACTGACTATTTTAGGTTATTCACAAACCACAGGACACAGATGTCTCCCAGCTGAAACTTACTGGTGTAAGTCTGCTTTTACAGCACACAAAAAAAAATTCTGTCACTCCATTCAAGTGATCAAACTAGTTTAAAACATATAATTGAATTAAAATAAATAAAATCCACAGTAAAATTCACACCAAAAATAAATAAGAAGGGGGGTGGTGAAATTTAAATGTTTGCTTATATAAAAATTTCTAAAGCCACTGCACTTTCATCCTTATATAATTTTATTTGTTCAAGGGTATTTGAAGACAGTATGTAAATTAAACCATGCCTGCTGAAAAGGAAGCGAGTAACCACTATTATATGCCCTCCATGTTATGTAAATGATCTTTAACACAAATATTTCAACTGCAACAAAACCCTGTGAAATTGTAAAAATAAAATGGCCTGTATTTGTATAGCGCTTTTCTAGTCCCTAATGACCCCAAAGCGCTTTACACAACCTGTCATCCACTGCCGGACACTGGCGCCACCGGGCCCTCTGACGCCACCAGTAGGCAACGGGTGAAGTGTCTTGCCCAAGGACACAATGACCGAGGAGCCGGGGCTCGAACCGGCAACCTTCCGATTACAAGGCGAACTCCCAACTCTTGAGCCACGATCGCCCCGATGTGATTTAAATTTTTTATTTTTTTCATAACAAGTAGGAACTCAAAGAAGGCCAACCAACGAAATCTGTGCCTAAGGTACATAAATCCTCTAGATACATGGATTAGCAATAATCTATTTCCTCTTAAGTTTTACCACAGTTTTAAACTTTAGTTGTGGTGGGGACTGGGACACAAAAGCACTGGATTAAGTGAATAAATAAGTCAATGAGCAAATAATACCCTTTAAGTTTTATGTGCTACAAATAAATAACTTAGAAATGCTGCATCTAAGTCTCTTATTATGCAGATGAACTGCTGGTCTACCATCTGCAGCCATACTCCTCTGAGGCCTCCATGAGTTTGCTATAGTGGCACATGAACCTGTTCTCCACCCTAAACAGGTTCTGGTTGCAACAGCCCTTCAGCTCACAGGATCTCCAGAGTGGGAGGACAACAGCCATAAGCTCTAGTCCACAACAGGAGACTGGAGGAAAACAGGAGATGGAAAAGCCCAGACCCTGAAGTTTATATATATAGGTCAAAGGATTGTCCACAAGTAAACTGACTGTGGATGCATTGTTCTCTCAAACAAACAAAAAATAATAACACCCAAATATACTTGGATGGTTTATGTAGGGGAAATACTGATTCGGTCACTGTTTGAAGTCTATTGTTAGACATCTTACCTCACAACGAAAGGGCTTCTCTCCAGAGTGCTGGAGTGAGTGAACTTTCAAAGACATACTGCGCTTAAATGACTTCCCACACGTTTCACAGGTGAATGGCATGTCCTTCGTATGAGCTGGATTTAAGAGAAAAAAATGCAAGTGACATGGCTAAATCATAACAAACTAATCAAATTAAAGTTTTAACTAAATTGGTATTGCTTGAATAAATGCTATGATGAGACATGATCATACAAAAGAATTTACATTTCACAATATTTAAAAAGAAAAGGCAGCATGTTGTCACTAAAGACACTATGCTGAGTATCTATAAGAAAAAAAAATTACAATACAAAATCTTGTACAGGTGAATATTATTTAATTGAAAGCCATGTGGTGTCTCACACTTCTAGATACAGTAACAGACAGCAGCCGCAACTTACCAACCATGTGCTTTCGGACGTGAGCCATAGTGTAGAATTTTTTCTCACAGATTTCACATGAGAACTTCTTTTCTGCATAGCCATGCACAATTTTGATGTGCTCATGCAATGACCAGAGCTTCTTAAAAGACTTGCTGCAGGAAACACACTGAAGAACAATAACAACAAAAATGTATAAAGAGAAGACAAAAAAATATTAATATTAAGCATTTTGTTTTGATCAGCCAGAATTCTTTTATTATACTCCAGCGCCCTCTGCTGGGCAAAAAAAGTCAGCAAGGGTTTATCTTGCTGAAATCCCTCTAAATCCTACCATCAAAGTAAAAACGGAAGCGGCCAAATCATCATAACTAAATCATTACTCTTGATTTAAAAAACAACAACAACAACAACAACAACAACAACAAAAAACTTCAATAGTAATACTTCCTTCTTAAATCATATCGAACATAATGCAACCCGATCAAAAGACCATTTTAATTTCAAAGTATAAATCAGTGGTACTTGGACAGTTGCAGACAAGTACTATACATTGATGTTTGGCCTTGACCAAACATCAAACTGGGCGTTGCAGTAATTTCTGTCTAGCATGAGTTTTATGGTTAGGCTGTTGTCTCCCTAAAATAAAATATCTTGCAGCGTGACAAGATAACAACCAGATGAACTGTGAAAAAGTATCCACACAAACAAAGTGGCCAAAAAAAAAAAAAAAAATACAGTTTCTTCTAGCTGCCTTTTAGCATGTGATTGCCAAGATATCATGTGAATCATTTCCAACAACGCGTTCCTTTTTTCCATGTTAACAAAATCAATCAATTAATAAAATGAAACACTGTGGAACCAGTTGTGTGCACATACTCTTACATCTCACCCTGGAGCTCTTTCACAGCTGCCACCGGTACTGCTGGTAGCATCACAAGTGTGTTTATATACAGATGTTCGTGTTTTAACGTCAGCCTACTCAAAAAAGATCCACATTTTGCCATAGTACAAATGGTTGTATAGACATGTTTAAAAGATTCCTAATTTCCCTTTGTTTTCTATTGTAATATAACCACTGTTCTCTCTGGTTATCAGAAAAGCTGACAGAAAACATGAAAGTGGAAAAACTGAACTTCATAATTCAGAGCCTTTTAAATTAGATTGTTAGTACACATGCACAGAAATTACTCATTTGAGAGTTGCTTCAAGGACAAAAAAATAAGGGGGAAAAACAAACAAAAAAGAAACAGAAAAAAAGAAACAGTTGCACAATTACACATATTATATCTCCATGACGTGAGAACAGGTTTCTTTATACCCTGTAATTGTTTCAAACTGTTTCGGGTGGCTCAGAGGAAGCTGCTCAAATAACATTTTCTTTAAACTGCAGATGCAAATCAAGCAGAACAAACCAAGGGCTAAATAAAGCTGCTAAAAACAGCTGTATAACCCTTGGGGATTCAGATGCTGAGTCGCCTTTTTCAATTTTAGAGAAGTAAAACCACAATGCACCTTCTTTCACTGAAATATTTTTGATAATAGATGGCTGATCTAAATAACGTCAGTTTCAGATGTCCTGTATCTAAAATATTGCTTAAGCATTACCAGTAATGCACACATGACTTTTCAAACAAAATACAATTAGTATTTTTAGATTGCATATTTGACAGAAATCTTCTGTGCTATTTTACCCCAAACCATGACGATGTTGTTATCAATAGCTTATGAAGTAAATTCAACACAAACTTCTACAGCTGTATTGTTGTGGTGGCTGAAAACAATATGGCCTTCAAAACATTCAAAGCACACCGCAGCTTAAGTTATGTTTCAGGAGATTAAATGTTATGGCATTTTTTGTGTGCTTTTACTTTCATGGTAATAACTTCTAATTACCATTGTCTAGGTAGAATTTTTATATAGCAGTCCATGACAACTTTAGACATTTTTCAAAACTTAATGAATATCAAAAGAAGAAAGAAAGCTACAGAAATACTGCAGAATTTCAAGGTTAATATCATGGCTAATGTGACAAGTCGAACACTTCTGGAATTCAGGAATATCTAATTCAGCTAAATTAAATTTCTTGTTATATGTGCTTTTTACTGACCTTTCTGCATATTTCATAACTGATATCTGTTTTAATTAGTGAGTGATGAATGTTGTATAATGGCTGCATAAAATCACTAGCATGAAGCACCTTGAAAGCTGCATCCCCCGTGAAATGACTGTTGGCCACCTTAGTTAAAAAGCCACACTCTTCTCCTGTGAGCTAACAGCTGAAAACCCACTATCAGTTCTCAGCTGCCGCTACATTCAAACTGCCACATAAATGAGCTGAGAGAGCTCCGAGTCTGCTGCTGCTGCTAGCAAGTTACTGAAACTTTTAGCAATCACTGTTTTCTCTTTGAAAATTGAACTTTTTAAAGTGTCAAATGTTGCCTTTAGATTTTCTAACAAAATAAATGCCAACATCAACCAAGAGGGTATCATAGTCATCAGGTAACAAGTTTGGTCACAGTAAAAAGTTTTAAACAAAGTGATTGCTTTCACATACCACAATAACTCACTTTAAAGCCAAGTCATTTTTTGGTCATTACTTCCACTAAATGATTTACAGTTAATTCTGTAAAAAAACATAACTACATATCATTTGCCTTTTTTTTTTTTCCTTTCTTGAACAAGCAGTCACCTTTAGTGGCAGAAAACTGCATCCTGACTTAATACTACATTTACATTGGATGGGTGGATGGATGGATATATATATATTTTTTCCCCCTATTTATTTATTTATTTTTTTAAATACATGACTACAAATTCTAATCAGTTAAATATGACTGATTTCAGTTCAAATGTAATTTAGAAATAAACTGAAACCTGCCAGAAATATACTTAAATATATGCAGAAAAATACAATATTATAATTACTAATACATAAGAATTTGTGTCCGCAGGTGTCAAAGAGGAGCCTGGGGTTGGAGCATCAGATAAGGCTGTAGTACAGGTGCACAAGTCTCATGGCTTAGAGGAAAGTCTTATACGTAAGAATATATTAAACCTCTTTCTCCAGAATAACATTTACAAGAGTAACTACACAAATATCAGATAAAGGTTTGGATTACCTGAATGTTCTTCTCACAATCAGTCTGCTGGTGCAAGGCTAGCTCACTCTCCAAGACAAACTTCTTGCCGCACTTGTCACAGATCTGCATTCGTCTGTGTGTAACATTCATGTGCTTCTCCAGGTACCAGCGTGTGTTGAATACTCGAGGACATTTTTCACATGCCAGCATCTCCTTCTCCTCCACCTCTGCTTTCCCTCCTGATGGTACAGTAGGAGAAGAGGAGGGAGCTGACCTAGCTGACCTGCCTTTGCTCTTTGGAGGCTCTGTGCGTTTCCGTCGCCCTCTGGTGGTCATTCCAGCAGGGGTAGCACCCAGAGCTGTTCGCAGACTTTTCCTCCGTGGCTGGCTGGAAGCAGCTGCACTACTAGACCCTCGACGGGTTCTCTTTGACCGCGTTCTTTGACTTTCAACATCATCTTCCTCCTCATCTTCCTCCTCATCCTCCTCAGGGCTCTCATCTTCCTCCTCCTCCTCTTCTTCCTCCTCCTCCTCTTCATCGTCGTCATCATCACTTCCAGCTCTTTCAGAGTCATCTACTGTGGTTCCAGTTTTATTGTCCCCTTTGGATACATGAAGTGTCTGGTTGTTCAGGTTGACCTCCACAATGATTTGTTCACGCTTGAAACTCTCCTCACCATCCTCATTCTCTTCTTCCTCCTCATCTTCATCATCATCTTCAGTATCATCAGAGGATCCATCATTGCCTGCCTGGGACCCCTGTATCCCCACCTCCTGCCCAGCCCCCCCTTCTCTGAAATACTGCTGATGTTGGTGTTGACCAATGTTCTGATCTCCCATGGATGTCTTGGCTGCCATTTTATTGTCCACTAACACAGAATAAGGCTTGCCACCAACCTCCCTCTTATAAATCTTTCCTGTCAAGTCCAGGTCTGGGTTAGGAGAGTGAAAGTAGGACTGGGACACCGGTGCCCTGCGTCCTTCCTCCTGTGACATCCCGCCAAGACTAGGGATGGAAACCTCTTCCTTGAGGCTTTGACAGGATTTCATGAAGAGGGAGAAGGTATGGAGGGGTACAGTTAGTAGGAGCACAGGGCAACGGAAAAGAGTAACAGCGGTGGTAACTAGGTAGACTAGCCTACCATACAAGGAGAGGCAGGGGACACCACGCTAATCCCCCACCCTCCTTCTACTGAAAAGACAGGAAGGAGGGGATGAGGTGAGAGACAGTCAACCGGATTCAAAGAGAGCATCCATGCTGTCCAAGCAAAGAACTGCAGCTGTATAGACATACAATCAGTTCCAACTTTTGTACCATGTGCTTAAGAATCAGAAAGCAAAACCAAAGTCTTAACGTTGATTCTCAACATTTAAAATTATCCCCTCCAGTTGTTGAGCTGCAGGCTGCTGCCCTGCAGAGCGCCAGTCTTCAAACAGCAGAGCAGGTAAAGATGAGCTGAATACCAAAAACGGAAATGCTGTAAGGACCTCTGCGTCTTGCTTGAACAGCCATTTGTTGTGCATTACCTATGAGATAAGACAAAGAAACAGAATAATATAGATGAGAGTGTTCCGTGTGACCTGAAACTACAGCCATATTGTCAAGTTCTGAACAGTGAGTGCCACACTTGGCCACAAATGTTTCAGTGTTGTGTGTAGGAGTGGAAACCACAGCTTTCACACATGAATGCGAGTGAATTCAATTTCAACAAATGAGCAGTCTAAATATTTCTAAACCACAACTGAAACACCTCATTATAAAGCAGAGACAGTTTGCTTTATAGAGTGACACATCAACATTCATGCTTGCAATAAGGACATATTTAGATCAACTAAAGTGCAACAAGTTACAACTTCTTCTCAGTACTGAAAATATGTAACATATCTTCTTAAAGACGATCTGATCGATGTCAATGCTAGAGCAGAAAACAGCCTGTTTGTTAAACAACATCGGTTGTCTATGCACAAACACAGATGCAATCACTGTAAACTACCAACAATCTGAAACTTAATAAATAAATTGGTACTCACTCAGTCCTAACTGTGTTCCAGTGGTGGTTAGAGACCATTTACAGAAATACTTCTCAGAAAGCAAAAGCCAGATTCAAGTTCTAAAGCACACTGATTAAACAACACAAGATCTTCTTCAACATCACACATGCACAAACCTCCCATTGACTGTTGGAGAGTATAGTGTAACCACAGCTTAGGAGCTTGTATTGCAAATACAACCACAGGAAACTGTATGTCAACCTTTCAGTGAAGCCGAAGTAGTGCACTTCTTGTAACAAACAGTATTATCACTGTGCTCATGCAAGTAACAGCTCAAAAAACATTGAATCAAAGTGTAATGTATTACTTATGTATGATGTTGGCTTTGGTGTAAATGTAATCCTGGAACTGACCCTGGATGACAGGTTGCTGACCTCGAACAACCCTACACCCTACAAACCATTTTGAGTGTGCACCAGGGCGGTTTGCTCGCTAGAAAACCTCCCCCCATGCAATAAACAAAAATTACATTTCCTTTCCAGGAGACAGCAAACATCCTCTCCTCAGAATCTTCACAAACATCTTATGCTTAAATTTCAAGAACTGACACACCACCGTCTACAAAGAAATCACAAACAGGCTAACAGGTACTTTCACATTCACACACACCCCCACTCCACCCATGAACTCTACTTTGTTCTGATGTTTAATTTAAAGTCACCATTAGAAAAGAGTTTCTGTAAATGCCAGAAAAAGGAGCATTACTGTGCAAATAATGGGAAATGCAGCTGAAACGATGGGTCACACTTTGTAATTAAGGCATAAGCCTAATTATTTTACCGTGATCAAATATTAATCATAATGAGTTCTCTGAGGCTTAACCAGATCATTATTTGTCAGTTAAACTGTTGGTGTAATTTGTGGTGTCTTACATTTACTACCACTGATTTAATCCTACCTGGCAACAGAAGCTGCACCTGCTGAAAATAATCTTGAATAAAACCAGATTAATTAAAAATAGGCTATGAAACTTTGGTGATCCAAACTTAATGTGAGCTAAAGCCATCTTATTTAACATTTTCTTTCTAATTCACTGGTCGTTTTCCCAAAGATTGTCTTTTCACCTCAAGACTTGGTGCGTATATCTGGTGAATTTGATCCTCTGTAGATAAGCATGTTGCAGTGAAGGCAGAGATAAGATGAACTAAAGCAATTTTTTAAGCCAGAGATTAATCAGTTGGTTCTACCTCATTTTGCATGCAAAAAAGTCAGCCATTTATGTAGACTTTGGGTATGCACATATAAGGCACACCTGCCTTCCTGTGTAGGCTGACTCTGATCCTTTCTGAGAATTGGACAGGAGCTCTGAGAGCATTAAGACCACAAGGGGAGGGCAAGCTCGGCACTGACAGAGCAACTTAACTCACATGGTAGTCCTAGACACAAAGCCTAATAGATTATCCTGTGTCTAGATGACAGAGCAATATAAACTGCAAGAGAACCCCCACGCCTAAACATGCAATTATGCTGGTTTACATTCTCGTTTGAAAAAAAGGCATGCTTGCACAACAACACAGCCAATTTATTACTATACCAATATAAAACTGATTAAAAAGATCATTTTTAAAATTAAAATAAAAAAGCACATAAACAGTGTGGTTATACAACCTTGTTGAGTATAACCCTTCTATTGCTTATCATTATCAACGATGAGTCATTTTGGGGTTTCACTCTCTGTGAAATAATGCAGTCCTTTGATGTGGGAATCAAGCAGAGCGCAGACTTCTCAATATCACGAGTAATTAGTTTACACATTCACCTTGTAGGATAGGGAGGTCAAACTTTTAGAAATGTAGATCGTTTTGTGACTGCCTATTGAAGTTTTAACAGCTTTCAAAGATGAACTTTGTACCCTGATGCAAAAAAAAGAAAATGAGCATCAATGAATGTCTGGATTACTGAAATGACCTGTCAGCCAGAGAATTACTAATGCTCAGCAAAAGTTGCAGAGAAATCAAAGTTTTTTCAGCAATGGCCAATTCATAGCTGTCCTCAATCACGTTTCAGAGAAGCCAGAACTCATTTCATATGTAAGCCACAAAGCCAGTCACATACCGGATAGATGCTACTGTGGCTTAAGATATTTGTATGACACAGGATGGGAGTGTAACTGCAACGGCAGCATACAACACTTAAAACCCATCAGCATTAAATAGTACACATGCTGACAAGTACTTGGCTAAACTTTGACAGTTAAGCAGAGGAGACCTTTGAAGTCAAAATGTGTCACGTTTGCTTCGTACTATGCAGCAGTGCTACTCAAATCCATGCACCCTCTTGAGTCTAGACTTTAATGAGCTTTCCCTTTTGCAGCTTGTGGAGGACCTTGTGAAGGTTCACATTCCTGACTCTGTCCAAACTCATAAGACCTTAACCAGCTCACTGTGTGGTGCACTACAGGGGTGCTCCATGCCTCGGTAGGTATTTGGCCCTCAAATCCATAATCGAGGTCAGAGAGCAGTACCTAGGGTTTTTGATATAGCACATATCATTTGAGGCACTACACGAAGTGGTCAAGGAATATGTCAGCTCCCATCTCTTCCACACCAGCTTTTTAGGAGACACTGCTGAGCTGTTTACTTCTGGGATATCTCTATTATGGATAAGGAAAGAAAACATGGTAGCCTTTAGCACTTACTTTGACACTGATTTAGACTGTGAAAACACACCGAAACGTGACTATAATAAAAAAGGGCTTCATATGCATCAAAACGAAGTAAATCACATGCGCATATGAATTTGTTTTCGTCGGGTTGGATGCAGCGTATTCAGCTACAAGACTTGCTGTTAACGCTGCAGTGTGTTCGAAGCAAAGAAAGGGTTAAAACAAAAAGGCAACATTGTACAACGAACAGTAACGTTGTGCAGGCCAGGCCAACTTAGGCTACTTAGCTAGCTAGCAGTAGTCCATAGGTACTAACCTGCACACACATGACAAGCTAACTTGGCTACATTAGCTCAAGGTGCAGCCATTAGATGTTTTAGTGCAGTTAAGGTCACTTCATTTGGATAACAGTCATACTAATACACAAGCACTACAATCTAAAGGCTGGTGTTTGCAGACAGGCAGTAGCTTCCAACAAAAGAGTAGTTTCACTTTAAAAAAAAAAAAAATCATAAACCGCCAAGGTTGGTGCTAGTTAGCTCAAAGCTAGCGTTAACGTCAATATTTAGCATTAACGTTACATTTAATTTCGGTGCTGCACTCCGAAGGGAAAGTCTGACAGTTTTTGGACCCTCGTGAAGCTAAACGAAAAGCTGATGTCATGCTTTGTCATCAGTGTTTCTCTCTTGCTGTGGTGCAGTATGAAAAATGCCGCTTTCTCAACAAAACCCAGACTGCTCTACTGGTAAACCCACTCAACTCGACACTGTCATAAAGTCAGCGCTAGCCGGGCTCGCAGACTGCTCTCACCGTAGCTTCGGCCCCGCACTACCGGCGAACCACGGCTGCCGTTTCCGACAGCTGTCATGCGTGTCACACATGTAAGTGCTTAAAATCAACTAAAACAGCGATATTTTGTTGTCGGTTTGCTGGCTTACCTCCGTCAGGGCGACCTTCTTCTTGCGTTCGTGCAATCAGAGTTGCACAGATTCAGGGCTGCACACGCATTTCTCCCTCCCTCTCTCTCGCTCTCTTTTCATTCACGGATATGCATTTAGACGGGCCACTGCCACTGGTCTTTGTGTGCAAAATGTGGGCGCTTATTTGTTTATGTCCGCTATAGACTGCGGAGATATCTGCGCACCGGTGTCCTCAACCCCGCTACGTGGCCCGGCCAAGCTCTCGCGTGTACTACCGTCGTCCCGCGCTCATCCCAGGCATCCAGGCCGCTGTCTGGATGGGCGCGCGGCAGCTTGTCTGGTCTGGATTCTTTTCGTCTCCCCTCCAAAGCAGACAGGGCACGGCGCGCGCGCACGTGCTGAGCTTAAATCCTTGATTGATGAAATCATAATGAGAAGACCCCGATGACCGTTTAATCCTCCCAGAGGAAAAATTCTAAAACTACAATAAATGCAATCAGTTTTTATCACACTCTTAAACTTTAATATCTTTTCTATTTTAATTCGGGGTTTTTTTGGTAACAGTTGTTTTAATTGACTCAAGTCCTCCAGTTTATTTCCATGAAGACGCTCGGGAAAATGACCGAACTGCATATTTCTGCGATATTAAAACATTTTTTTTTAAAAATGCATGGCTGTATATAAAGAACACAGGAGAAAAAAAAGTGTCGAAACTATGTCTCATTCTAAAGAATCAAATGATCTTCATAGTTTACTTTTGTCGATACAAAATAAATCTTCCCTTTAATTAAAAAAATACTATTCCTTCCAGTTTGAAACACTTTTTTTAGTATATAGTTTTTTTTTTTTAAAATGGTGTACCTTTTATTTTCTTAAAGCAAGACAAAATAAATGCCACCCCCACCCCAGTGACAGTTATGCCTGTGTAAAACATCTCTGTGCCTTGGCCAAAAAGACTGACAATTGAGTGGCAGAAAGGCGATTTAATAACTCATTCGTTTCTGCAACACGGGGCTTAGATTTTTTTTTTCCATACAAACTGAAGATAGCAAAGAAAAGAATCAAGTACCATCCTGTACCACTTGCTAAGCATATTCCAATTGATTCGGAGTAACATCAGTGTGACAAAGGTATCTGAAAGAAGGCGGCAGACATTTAAAAAAATTAAAATAAAATTCTCTAGTAAGCCTGAATGACTGAAGCCAAATGAATAAACAATGTCAAGACACATACCTTGCAGTCATCAGAAAGATTGACAATTCATTTAGATTTCAAAACAGAAACAGAATTTGATGAAATTTCCAAGCACAACGGAAGAATGGCATTTACCATTCACATTTATTGTTTAAAGAAATCACACGTTTTCTTTGATGTACAAGTGACTGTTGCTTTCCACTCATTAAGTGCTTTCACTTTGACATAACTTGAATCTTGACAGAATTTACCGCACTGACAATTCTCAAAACAGAGTACTATATATATTTTAGGTTATCACAGAGTAATAAACCCCTTCACTTCCTTACATAAAAGGACTTCATAAATTTAACCATCATAGGTCTCTCACTTTGTCTCCCACCATACTGCTATCAGCAGAGCCCAGTCCTGATTTGGTTAGAGAAATAGTGGGAGGAATGTGTGTGATGTTGGGAGAATCCTTTATTGAATCCTCCAACCACCACGTCCATGGCCTATGTAATGGCTGGACACAGTGAGGGGAGGTGGTAGACATGGGTGTGACATTATCACTGGGGCAACTGAAGCAATGTGCCCTGTCCGGAGGGCAGGTAAGTGACATTGCGGGAGCGTGACAGCTGGAAGGCGATGTCTTCAGCGGCTTCCAGCTTACGGAGCTCTACCAGACCATCACCAGCCTCCATCAGAGAGTTGGCAATGAGTAAAGCAGCCTGAGAATCTCCCTCGGCTGAAATGATGGCTGCCTGCTTCTGTTGCTCTGCCTAAAATGATAAAATGAAAACGATAAAGCTGTATGCACAGTTTTAGAATGCGCTCATAGTACAGGGATTACATGCAATGTTAGAAATACCTTTTCTACAACGAAACGGGCTCTCTCTGCCTCTTGCTGGGCCACCTGTTTCATCTCAACAGCCTCTGTGAATTCCTTGCCAAAGGTCAAGTGTGTCTGAAAGAACACAATACAGCAGGTTACTGCAGTTAAACACACAACCCAAGGATAGTATAGAACAATGCTGCATAATTTTCCATCGACTTCATACCAGTGAAACATCATCCAAGATTAGGCCGAAGGTGGAGGCTCTTTCTGTGAGGTCCTCACTGACCTGCCTGGACACAAGCTCTCTCTGAGTGATGAGCTCACTAGCATCAAACCTAGCCTGAGAGAGAGAGAGACATTAAGTGCTTTTTGACTCTGTTCATTATACATTCAGCCAATTTGTTTGGCCTTTAATGGATTCTTACTCACCACTACAGCCTTTAAGACCTCTGTGGTGATAGATGGCAGCACCCTCTCATCATAATCCTCACCAATACTGGTGAAGATGCGTGGCAGCTGGTTTGTCACCGGCCGGAAGAGGATACGCAACGTGATGTTAACGTTCTGCAGATCTGTAGGGTGAATGGTTCAGACCTTAATCACACTGTATACACTGGCCTACACAGTAAAACAAGTGTTTGTGATTCAAATAAATAAAAGGTAGAACATGGCAGGAAGTTTAGTCTCCAGATTTAAATTCCCTCAGCTGTTTTGGGATGCACTGAGGCCAAAACTACAAAGGACATTCAACACAATTGAATGTTTTCTTTGTATTAGCTAGTTCAACAAAACCTACAATTCCAGGAAAAACCAATAATGCAGCGGCTGTGAACTTATATCATGGCAGACTTTCTTCATCAGGCTGTGTGTGTGCGCAACACTAGAAGGGGGGAGTGCATCATTTCACTTTTCTTCTGTACAAAATGTACCTAGTTTAGTCAAGAGCAATGTTCGCTCTAAGCTTGAGCACGTGAGCAATCGCGCACTGCTAACATGGTCTCCCCACACAGAAAATCTGCGCTGTGCACCAAAAAAAACAAAAAACAAAAAAACAATCCAGCCTGACTTGGAATGAAAGTAAATACATGTATTTATTTTATTTCGCTGATTTTCTGTGCGCGTAGACTGTGTCAGCAGTGCACGATTGCTCACGCGCTCAGCTTAGAGGGAACAGTGGTCAAGAGGCGTATGTGACATTAAGCTATAAATGCTTTTTTAATGCTACAGTTAAGAACTAGAATGATTGTAGTCATGAATTCACCAAATAAATAAATAAATAAACTTAACACTGCCATTTAATTCTGTACATTCAGAAAGTCCATTTAGGCCATTTAAGCAAACCAAGGCCAAGTAGAAAACATTTAAGTTCTTGACCAAATCAAATGAAAGAGACTTTGCCATAAATCAGGACAAAGTATAAAAAAACATTTATAAAGCTCTATAACCACATACCTTGTGAAAACACAGTCACCAACTTAACCAAACAAGTGTGCAACAAACAACTGATGCTAGATTTAAAAAGTAGGTCAACCCCAAGTGTGACGTCGAATAATAGATCTCAAAACCATCATGATCTCAAAACTTAAATAACCATGGTTTGTGAGAATGCAAACAATACTGACAGGTGGTCAAAGTATTCATCACTTTGTAATGCCCTTTAGAGACTTTTGAATTTTTAATGGAAAGCCCCCACGGCTATACTTATTTTACCATATGAATATTTTTTTTTCTTTCTTTCTGTTGGTTCTTGTTTCTTTCTTCTTCTTCTTCTTTTTTTACTGCATTTACATTAGAATGCAACACAACACACACAACTGTAACAATGGCTTTTCTTTGTTCACATTACTAAGACACAGCTCAAGAGGTTTGTGTATGAACATATTTGCTCAGTTAAGACTCTTTATTGCTCTTACAAAATATAACTTCAGCTAGAACAAACTGATGATAATGTCTTTTAGAACATTTTAGATCTCAGTGCAGAGTTGGCATAGCATTCTAGCCAGTTAAAAATTGAGCCATCAGACAGAACTTGCTAACCCATTAATTCCACTTCACAGCATTCTGGGTGGAAATCAAAACAACTAGTAAGAGCAAAGCATGCAGTTCTAGGGAAAAATCTGGCTACACTGCCACTGTAGAAGGAATGGCAAGATTCATCTGAAGAGTGTCTCAAATTTAGAATATGGCACGCCATGATTTTTTAATTTATTATTATTTTTTAATTCTAAATGTTTTTGTTACTGTTGTACACTTTATTTCAGCATACACCGAGTTATATAAATTTCAGTAACAACTGGAAAATTTAAGTGTTCAAAAACATCTGACATACCCTCTACACGTCTTTTAATGTTAAAAAACTAAACATTTAAGAGTGGCTAATTAAAGTCTTCACCACACCACAAAGCTAAGCCTTCTTAGTTTGACAAACACTTAATTTGCAGAAACTAAAGTTCCTTGGAGTGCTTGCATACCTTTGCTGCCTGTGATAACAGGCACATTGCGTGGACGGGAGCGGCAATCAAAGATGACAGGTTTCTGAACCCAGGGGATGAGGAAGTGGGTTCCCTCACCAACAACAACATCTTGAACACCTCGAAACCTGTCAAAGATCACAGCCCGGTGACCTGCATCAACTGCAACGAGGAGGACAGAGAATCACATATAGAAAAAATAGTTTAACATGAAAATTTTATTTTTTAATTTTATTTTTATTAAGAGATAAGATAGAACTTTATTAATCCCTCGGGTGGATTCCTCTGGGAAATTCAGTTTCCAAATAGCACAGCACCAACAGAAGTTACAGAACGTGAGCAGAATACCATATATACACATATATAAATACAGAGACATATATAAATAAAGAGTATACAAAAGGGATAAATAGAATAAATAGGAATAAATTCAAGGTCACAGTTTTTCTCGTTTATGATCTGGAATGCTAATGAATTCATCAGCTTAACCAAACAAAGGCAACTATATAGGTGCTACACAGAGTAGACCAAAGGCATCCTAAATTAGCAAAAGAGGTTAAGTGTAACCCTAAGTGTAATACCAAAATCTCACTTCAGAATAACACATGTTCGTAAAACTAAAACAACTGCTTTTCTCATCTGCATGCAACACTATCAGGTAGCTAGCTATTCATTAGCTTTTGCTGCCTTCCCAAACCTCTTGAATTCTTTCGGAAATGTGGTTTATACAAAATATATATTTTTACCAAATTAATAATTTTTATGCTTGATGACTGAGCATGTTTTCCTATACATGTAAAATTCCATTAGACCATGGATCTTTCTAGGACTCACCGTTGAAAAGGGCTGAGTTCACGACACCTCCACCGATGGCGAGGGCAAGCCCCAACTTCCCAATGGACTCAAATAACTTGGCCATGACAGCAACCTGGTGACAATGAAAACACTTTGAATGTCTTTCTACACATCTCCACCTCTACACCCACGCAATGCACCATAATCCTGTGACGGACCTTGGAAATCCAGGCTAAATCCCCTCTTTCAAATAACAGTTGGCTTTGGCCTTGAGCTGGACTGACACCAAGGCTGTGGTTGTTAGCTAATTTGGCTAACTAGCTAGCATTAGCTTATCTACTAACTGAACGGAGACATCTTGCAAGCACATATAACTAAACAGAGCACCGCAGCTTAGATTTAAGGCCGAAGCAATACTACAGATAAGACAATAAGATACGTAAAACGGTTAAAAAGCGTGCGACAGGTAAGTCCAAGTTGCACGCCGGGTGACTGCACGCATGTTATCCCACGCTGATGCAAAGTGGTCGCTCGTGTTCGTTTAATCTTGTAACACTACCTGTCTTGTAAATAGCACATAAAACGTCTCTCCGTTTCACTTCCAATGGCTAATACAATGACATTTCGATAAACAGTTAAGTAATTTTACTGTCACACACATAACGTATGTCATAACGTACCTCACTTTGCTCGGATGTCTGTGACCTCCACCGGACACGACGTACAGCACATGAAATATCTGCTACACAGCGCCTGCGCACTGGATGAAGCAACAAAGCATCTGATTGGACGTAACAAAACAGTCTTCTTCTTCTATGACTTATTAGTCAGTATTCAAACTAATTACTGCCACCTACTGACTGCGGCTCACCTAAATATAATTAAAATACATTATTATCATCCGCTTTTGGCTTATACTGATTAAAATGTAGAAAACAGAACACATATTGCTACATAGCATCAGTATACTGGTTACTAAGACTCAGACTCAAGACTGTATTTTACATTCCTTAGACAATAACTTTTTGGCTCTTGTTGTAACTAGAGGATGTCAGGGAGGTCAGATTATTATTATTATTATTATTATTATTATTATTATTATTATTATTATTATTATCAGTAGTAGTAGTAGTAGTAGGAATACTAGTATAAGAGTAGGGTGTAACTGGAAAAAAGAGGTAAGAGGTATGCTCCAGAGCGTCAAATGTAAGGCCCGGGGGCCTTACTCCAATCTGCCCCCTTAGACTGATTTGGCAAACTTGAAGGAGGACATAAATTTTGGACTATTACCTGCATTTTCACAAATCTTACAGTTCTTTCTACTGATAAAGACCATGTCATTTTCATACTACATTAATGAAATTAAGTATTAGATTTGCAAAGAAATGATAGTTCTTGTTTCAGTTTTTTTTACAATGAGTCAACAGCAAAATAAAAAAACTACTTTTTCTATGAATTAACAAGAACTTTCAGTTTTATAATTACTTGAAAATCTGGACAGTGGGCTACCAGAACCTTTCCTGTATTTTTATACATTAATTTATTTATTTATTTTCACAAATTAAGCCCAAAAGATCGTGCTGACAGATTGAGATGGATTGAGATGGCAGATGAACCACCGTAGCCACCCCTAAAAAAGGCAGATGAAAGAAGAAACAAATAAATAAACAAACAAATACTACTACTACTACTAATATTAATCATAATAATAACCACGTATAAAGGAACAGTTTGGGAATTTGTATGATACAGTTAATAGACCCGCAAACTTCTGCACGCACCGACTCACATGACACTTTGTCGCCCCCTAGTGCGGGGAAGAAAAATCGCACAACCGGTAGTTTCACTTTTCTTCCATTGCTCGTAAAGAGTGACGATCTTTGAAAGAAAGCAAGAAACGGTCGTGGAAGCGTTTTAAGGTCAGTGATGATTGCAAATCTGAAAGATATCCAAAGAATGCGACACACCGTAACTGCCTCGGGCGCAAATAGAAGATCTGTCGATATGCGCTAAGAAGATTGGCAGTCGAGATGTTTTTGATTTTCTCTACTTCCTTGACAGTCGTCTGGCTGCAGTGTGGCTTTTCTTAACGCTCGCAGATGTGTTTTCACATCGTGTAGACACGAGCACGCAAAAGCGCTTCATTTTCGCAAGTTGAATAAATTTTTTTATTAATTTGATCAGATTTATTTTACAATTAGCACAGATGTTGGCAACTTTGAATCCAGTAACATCTGCCGTGTATTACAAGCAACATCTGGTTTAAAAAGGCATTTTAGAGCAGCTTATTATTTGTCAGTTAGTTACAGACTAGTCGTGGGAAGCAGGAAGAAGGGGAGTAAGGGGCGTTAACCTCACTTGTACAATTTTACACACGAAATTTACACTCCTGTTGATATTGGACAAACATGTACGCAATACACGAAGTCTACGCGTTTTCTAGTCTTTCGTTTCCACATAGCAGTCTGGATATCTCAGTAGTTTTGACATTACAATGATATATTTTTTTGGTGTTAGCCTGCTGTTGCTTCAAATAACCAGCTGCAAAGTGTCTAGACATTTTTTTCCTACAATTTAATGAAAAATATTCTCTGTTGTTGGAAACTGGGGATAGTTTTCTGTGTTGATGTACTTTCCTGGTAACCCCCAAAAGAGGGAGTTGGACTATCAAATATGTTTCAATTCCTATTCACAGTTGTGTCTTTCACTGAGAGATGTCATGTTCTAAATTTTAGCCATCATCATTTTGATTTTCATGTTCACCATTAATGCAAAATGAAAACATTTTAGTGTTTAGCCTTGCATTCAGCTTCAAGAGTTTTCCTTCTCACAGCAACAGTGATTGTGTTTCTTCCAGCAGATGGCAGAACCAGGCAGGACTGTGAAGGTGTGTGGACTGCCCACAGGCATCGAGGATAACACACTGAAAGACAAGCTATTGATTTACTTCCTTAGAAAAAAAAATGGAGGAGGGGAAGTAGACTCTGTCACCTTCCTCAAGGCAACGCCTCTGGCTGCTCTCATCACCTTCGAGGACAGCGGAGGTCAGTAGGTTCAGTGTATGTTCACGTCTCCTCATCTGCTGTGTAGATCAGAGGGATTACTGTCTGAATAACTAAATGTTCTGTGTCAGTGGTCTTTCATTGCAAAAATACTGTTCATTAATCAGAATCAGAATACTTTATTAATCCCAAAGGAAAATAGGGGGGATTAGTTACATATTATACTGACTGTATTAACACTAAACAACTGTAAACCAACCAAAGATGGCATTCATTTACAAAGTAATAGAAAGGTACTACACTGTCTGCTGCCACCAGTGATTTACACTAAACTGGAATGTTGGCATCGAAGTCAATGGAGTGGCCAGTTGTAGAAACACTTAGTCAGGATGCTTCACAGACTGTGATTGATTTCTCTCTGATGACCCCTCTCGCACAGTGGCACAGAGAGTTATTCACCACAGGCTACACGTTCTGGATGTGGATGGGAAGAAGTATAAGCTCACGGTAACTGAGCATTGTGAAGATTTCGCTCCAGATCAGGTAGATTTAGCTGCTGCTCTGCACAATTTCAACAGATACAGTGTAAAATTATTAGTAATTAATTTGTTTTTCTCTTTTCTTTTTCTCATCATCATAGGTCGTCTTAAGCTTATCAGCAACAATTGACTACAGCAAGCTTCCAGGGGGAATCATGGCATTGACAAGCCTTCTTCAGAGCCACCACGATGTCCAGATCAACTATACTGCTACTGAGAAATGCTCTACAATATTTGGCTCTTACTCCACAGTGCAGGCAGCTTTGGCACAACTACTGGGTCATCCTGGAGGCTCAAACTCAGCAGAAAACTCAAAAGACTTGAGTCAGCCTACTTCCAGTGGTTTCCGGTCTGTTCAAAAAGCACAGAAGCATTATACACAGGAGTCAGAAGATCAGAGCAGAAAAGCCAACAAGCAAAGAGACAACAAAGAAAAAAATCACATTGACAGGCCAACTGACAACTACAGTTTAAGTTCAGAAAGAGACCTGACACCTGGTGGTTATACCTGGGAGGACACTGGTCAGGCAGATGGAGCTGCTTTGCAGCATTCTACAACCTCGGCGGATGATTTCTCACTAATTATGGATGGAGACATGTTTCAGTACCTACAGAAACACTGCCGGAAGGAATACCAGCATATCCTGAAGCAGTATGGGGTTGAAGTGGTGGATGTAACAAGTCAGGGTTTGACCACTCTGTTTCTGCATGTTACAGCAGCAGTTGGGGAGGATGGTCTAGAGGAGGAGCGCTTGAAGATAGCCAGAACGGCTATAAGTCAGCTTCATGAGGACATTGAGGCCAAAATCCGTCGATCCCAGCTGCCCAAAGCTATCCTGCACCCCAGTGGAGGCCTGCAAAGGGCAATTGAGAACTTAAGTGTCAGACTTCCCAAACTTATTCTGAATGAAGATGAAAAAAATATTTATATTATTGGAAGCAGTAGTGATGTGTCAGAGGCCAAGCAGTTTCTTCTCCTGGACAATGTTAACCAGCGAGATAAAAAGGAAGATGTAGCTAGTCTCCTGAGATTTCCCTCATATGGTTCAAGTTTATACCCTCAGACTGATGAGGAGAGATTCACTCTCCCCACACCCTCCACTGTAGCATCGGGGGATGATAAGCTAGATGAGATGCTGAAGTCAGAGGAAGATGAACGAAGAGCTGAAGGAGCCAGAAGGTATAAACTAGCTGCCCGGTTTAAGGATTCTGGGCTAGCTGCGTTAAGCAGTCGACCAGCTGACTTCACTTTACGAACAAACTCATCTCCCAGCAGACAAACACGCCAAGGGCCAATGTTAGGGTATGATGTACTCTCAGAAACAGCAGGGACTTCTGGTGAGGCAGTTTCCAGAGCAGTACCCCAAAACACAGGAGGAGACATTTTGTTCAAGACTGGATCTAGTTTGGCATCTTCCTCGCTTCAAAATAGAACCTCTTTGAATCCAGATTTAACAGATGCTCGACCTAAGAATTCATCATCCCCTTTTAGTGGTACACAGTCCAGTTTGTCAGGAAGTCCTGCACCTCAGTCTGCTGGATCCAGATCCACCTTGAAGCGAGCCAGTAGTTTCTCAGGAACGCCTCAGCAGAAGGCTCAAGTTATGAGTCAGAAGAGTCAAGAAGATAGCAGCAAGTCCACAGTCAGAGCCAGGGGCAGGTCTTCTAGCTTCAGTACCCAAACAGGAAGGGACAAGCAGGAAGTCTATACTGCAGATCTTACAGTATCCAGGATAATGTGGAAACATATAAAAGAATCATACAGCTACCGAGTGGAAGATCTAGCTTCTGATGTCCAGTTAAAAGAGAGCAGCTTAGGTAGTCATGAGCTGACTGTTACCATAAGAGGAGCAAACTCATCCAAAGTGACTTCATGTCATCTAGGTTTGCAGAAGCTGGTTGACTCAGTTAGTTCAGACTTCTCTGTGCAGGAGGTGTCCTTGTCTGAACTGGGTATCACTGACAAAGCAGATGAAACCTTACAAGCTTGCTGCTCTGAAGTGCGGAGCCGCTTTAAGAAGGTTACTATCGAGATATTAGCCAAGAGCTTATATCTTCTTGGTCCACGGCAGTTGTGTTCCCAGGTAGGTGCTACCCTGCGGGAAGTATTTTCTGGAGACTCGGCTCAAATACCTGACAAATACCAATATTCCCCAACTTCTTTTCAAATGAATGAAGATAAAAGCACTAGCTTGCACTTTAACAGTAACTCTCAGGTGATTAGAGAGAGCCAACCAGGCAATGCTGATGGTACAAGTAGGAGTCGGGAATGGAGGACAACCTACAGAAGTGACTTTGGTGGGAGGGAGATTGTGAGTGGATCTATTGGTCTGGCAAGGCAAGATCATGTCATTAAGGAGAAAGTCAAGCCTATAGATCCAATGGAGATGGATGGACAGAAGGCTAAGTCATTTGTCAGTCAGTCTACACCAGGAAATGATAGTGTGAGGGGTCTGAATGGTATCGGATCATCATTAACCCGCACTGAGAAAGGGACCACCTTACCTGCTACGCAGATAGGCAGTGTAGGTCAAGAAGAAGCAGAGATCCAGAACACCCCAGGGGAAGCCAAACCAGGCCAGGAGAGGCTGGGGAACATCTGTGTTTGTGGAGAAACTGGGATATCTGTGCAGAGAACAAAATGTGGAACTACCTTTTGCTCAAAGTGCTTGGACACGGTACATGTCCGCTGCAGAGTTTGTCATGAGACGGAGCAGAAACCTCGGGGCATCCTGGGCAAAATTGTAAAATCTAAACTAAACATCACTTTGCCAGGTTACAACAAGTTCTGTACTATCAAGATCACTTACAGCATTCCTGATGGTATCCAAGCGGTGAGTGGCTTAAAAACATTTCTCGCTGATATTTTGTTGTGCTTTATCTGAATGAGAAATTACATTGGCGCACCTTCTAAGCTTTCATTTCAGAGACTACAAATGAGACAGAATAAGAAAGGCTGCTCAGTTAGGACCTTTTCTTAAATCAGTTTAAATAGTTCAATTCTGTAAAGAGGCCTTGTTACACATCAGGTGTGTGCAGACATATTAAAGCTCTGAGTTATGATTTCTCTAATTTTAAGTATTAGTTTGTCTTTTACCTGTGTTTTAGTTGACTCCTACAGGGTGTCAAGAAAGAATTAGCTAAACTTCAGAGACATATTCTGATTCACATTGTTGCTATGAGTTCATATATGTGTGTTTCTTGATCGGCTGAGATCTGCAGATATCAGCCAGTATTCATTATTTTGTTGTTAAAATAAAATAGGCTGCAGTTACAATTCTGACCTTCTCCTGCAAAATAGCATGTAGCTATAGGCTGCCTTTCAGCTTATACACTGCAATACCGAGACCTTGTTCATGACTGCGCTCTTTGTGTTGCGTTTTATCAGGATGGGCATCCATCTCCTGGAAAACCATTTAAGGGAGGGCTATTTGAAGCCTACTTTCCAGACTGTCAGCCGACAAAGAAGCTGTTGCCCAGGCTGGAGAAAGCCTTCAGGCAGGGACTCACCTTCACAGTGACAGGCAAAGGGACAGATGCAAGGGTGACCTGGGACGGCATCCCACACAAGACCAGCTTACAGGGAGGCAAATCAGGGTGAGTGAGGCCAGCGAGGATGTCTGAGAGAGCTGCAGAATTAAAGGTCATAGTCAGTCCATGGACCTGACCTGAACAATGTTCTCTTTGTCTCTCTCAGGAATGGGTACCCAGATTCCACTTACTTGACGCGCTTGTCTGAGGTCTTGACCTCCCTTGGAATTGAGGAATCAACAGAAAAGCCCCATGATTAAAACATGTAAAAAATGTATTTCTTCCTTGTTTTATATATAAAAAATAGCAGTATATTGGTGATCTTTGTGTTTACAGCACTGTTTTGCGGTTTTGATTAGTTGACAATCACACTTTGTTATAGTGAGATGTTGATATCTGATCATCCTTTAATTGTAGTCTCTTTTAAATAATGGAGTCATTGAAGACTGAATTTTAATTTTGTAACGTCCTTTACCAATTTTCTTTTAACAAGTTGTTCAAGAGTGAAGGGCCTATAGTATTTCACATGACAATTTTTTAAAGATACCGTTTCAGGTTATTTTGCAGAACAAATGAATATTAAAGTCTTCAATATGCACAGTACTGCATAGACCAAATAATTTGCACCGCACTGTGTGATTGTAGTCATCATTTAGTTTAGGAACAACAGACAGTAATTTGTAAAATATTCTGAATTTAATAAATTAATTGTCAAAAATCTGTCTTTGCTTCTGGGCACAGAAATAAAAAAAGCACATTTCCTGTCTTTTTTTATTATGCTTTTTTTTATTAGTCCTGGAAAACATGTAAGGCATATGGTAACATTACACACTGAAGCGTTACAAGCTCTAAAGGCCATGTGGAGAACATGGCACCACGCAGTAAACCCAGAGTCAAGCACAGAAGCAGCATCAATTCAAAGGGTTTAAAAAACAAAGTTGAGACGAGAAAGTGTGTTTGCAACCATTTAAAAACAAAGAAGGGGAAAAAAAAAAAAAAAAAAAAAAAGAAAGGACAGAGTTTCTGTCCTTTCTTGTCCAAAACAAGACAAGAAAGGACAGAGTATAGGAAATATAGAAATCAACCTGTTGGGTATGCCTTGTAGAAAGTTACCAGTGGTCACTGACAGGTGTGTAGTAGGATGGATGTGAAGTGGGTTTCTGAAGCATTCCCAGAGATAGGTTAAGATGTCTTGTAAATGTACCAGCTTGCCATGGAGGTTCCCATGCTGAAGGGTCTCAGGTGACGCAGGGGGGCAGCAGGCTGGCATTCTCCTCTCTCACACACACCACACAACTACATGACTACTAAACTAATGTGAAAGACACAGAACGGTACATACACACATGCCTTATTTTGTTGTTGTTGTTGACTAAACATGCATTCTAGTACTGTACATGACACGCCCAGCCAGGTTGTACTTCCTTAGCATCTCTGCAATGCAGCTGCACTGCAATATCTCAAAAACGACTGTTAAGGATAATAGCTGCAGGCAGATGTGGTCGTTTGAGTTCGTAGTGTAGCGAACACAGTGGCTCTGAATGTGGAACTAAGCCACTTTCATCCTCCCTTTTTTGACTTAGAACACTAAAGCTTACTTAAAATGTGAGTACTGTGAAGGAAAATTGGTGTGACAGTTTGTGCAGTTAACTCAGTGAAACAATGATGTGTGTGTTAGTAAATTGAGATTTAAGTGGGTTCCTACATAGGGAAAACTGCTGTTTGGAATGACCTGAGAAACCATATAGAAGAAATAAATCACCACAAAGCAAACTGTGGGTGGCTGTGAGGGACTACAGCTTCAAGCCAAGACGGATAGAAAAGTAGCTGCTGGAAATACAACACTCACTGTACTCACTTTCTTTAGATCTAAAACTATGAGTGACAGTATAATCAAATCTAAAATGTTCAAAAAAACAAAACACTTTAATTTTTTTGGAAAACTTTGAAATACTTTTTTTTTTTTTGTTCCTCCCTTGCATCTCTGAGTTGTTAAGTACTCTTGCATAAGTGTCTGGAATGACTGGGAAACCATTTCAAGATGAGATTACAATTCAGCTTCACCACGGTGGAAAAGCTCTCAGGCTGCAGGCCACAGTAGGAAGGGGTGGGTTTTACTTTAACCGACGGATCCACTTGAACTCGAATTCAAGACGCGAAACACCCACCCCGCTGATTGAGTTCATGTCAAAGGCATCTCAGTTCAAAAGTACCCCGGGGAAAATGTTGAAAGAAAAAAGAAAAGGGATTTTAATCTGTTTTCCACATGCAGATGAATGCATGCAATTTCAAATTCCAGATGTCAAAGTAATGCTCTATTTTCTTTGAATGTGTATGCAGAAGGAAGAGGCTGATATGGAGAGGAGTTTTTGGCTGGCTGCTGGACTGCAACTGTTGCACCGGCCAAGAGGTTTTGCAGATGCAGCACAGGAAAAGAGGAATGACTCTTAATAATCCTTGAGTGAACTGAGATCAACTGCAAAGCGGAAATGTTGTGTCTGGGGCAGGCCAGAACTGAGCTATGATTAGCCAATAAGCAGAGGCTGTGCTCAGCTGTGTTACAGTACTGGCTTTCCTGCACAGCTGTGTAAAAAACATCTGGTCCCTCACTTGTTATACAAACCATTTTGGAAACAAACTGAAAGAAAAGAAATCCATAGAGAGGAATAGCACAGAGCTTTGGAGCTGGGGAAATTTGCAGATTTACGACCATCTTTTGGTGTGGTGGAGTTTTGAGTCTTAAATCCACCATGTTTTGTTCCTCTTCACTGTAATACTGATGTTATAGCTGTAAACCAACAGAGGGAATCATCCTATTGGGGCCGATATGATGTGAGACCTGGTAAAACACAGCGAAAAGCATTTACTAAATACATCTCAGATTGAGGTAAGGAGAGAGGCACAATGCAGGCCTATGCTTCAGCAAGACTACAACCAATCACCAAATACAGATTGTGTTAAACCTTTTATAAACTGCAGCAAAATTCTGTCAGCACCTGTGAGCATTTTGGGATATAAATCTGACACAATGTGACAACTTGTGTGAATTTTTCTTTTTTTTTCTCTTTTCTTCAAGGTTGACGGAAATGCATCCAACAACAGAATTTTCTTCATATTTTTTTTTATGCACTGTTAATATTCAAAGCATGGACAGAGGAATATACATACAATTTGGCACACATGGTTTAAACCAACAGAAAGACTTCATCACATTTAAAGAGGAGTGCAGGTTGGCAAGTCCCCACATAAGAGTATGAGCTTTGAACTTTAAACCCTTGGATAACAAAAAACAAACAAACGAACAAAAATATAAAGGTAAATCAAAATAACATAGTAAGTAAAACATCTTTTTTTTTTTTTTCTCATTTCAAAACTGAAGCGTTTGTTTCTCACATGGCACTCGGAACAGAAGCACCGTCCACAGGTTCACAAAGGGAGCCCAGCAGATTAGAACAGAACACTAACCAGAGGCTGACAGGACACAATCACTCCCCACACCAGCGTGCCGGTCCCACTCCAGCCCACGTCGATCGGACCTGCTCCACGTTTTACTTCCCACAGTCAAGGATGGATGAATGCTTTGATTTTAGCTGCCACCCAGGAGAAGTTGGCAAGCTGAAAATGAGGGGACTTTTGCATGAGTTTGTGTGTTTCTGTGTGTGTGTGTGTGTGTGTGCCACCTGTGCTTTCAGTGAGCTTTAGCAGATACAGTGGGAGCGCATGATGGGAAATGGGCTGCAAACCTGGAGCAAAATCAAAGCCTGTGCTGGACTGGAGTGAGACCGCCATGCTTGCAAGTGCATTAAGATCAGCGAGCAGAGTGCAAAATACTAATACCAACTGTCCTCATAATACAGGCCTCTTATCAGACAGGAGGGAGAGATAGAGTAAGATGTGTTGGTTGGTTGGTTTCAGAGCTACATCGTACTGTAGCAGAGTAGTGTAAGGAGGGAACGTCTGGTAGGAGTTGGGGGGGGGGGGGTGCTTTTAAAACCTGACAAATGACCTGAGGACACACGCACATCTTCACACATAATGGCACACCACACACAGCACATGAGGGAGGCCACTCATGCTAACACAACAACTTTTTTTCGGAAACATTTTTTTGTTTTTTTTGTTTTTTACAAAGTCACTAGTCACCATCTGAGTCTTGACACAGAGGCCAGACTCACAGACAGGCAGTGAGGCGGGCAGGTGGATAAATAGTCAAGGTTTAAAGTAGATTGACTCAGACGTGAAGGATTTGGTGCAATGAAATATGAAGGACTGGCCTTGAAGGGATAATTCACTCTCCAAAAAAATGAAAAGAAACAAATGTCTTTTCTCTGACCCGTAGTGCCACTTTTCTATTTAGATGGTCTCAGTGCCCAGTTTTCAAGAGACCGGCTGTAAAGGTGTCTAACTTCTCTTGAACACAGTGAAACTATATGGCACTTGCCTCAGGTGCTCAAATGAAATGCATCTGAACAGCTCAGCAGCAGTATCTTTTTCCAGGAATCATGGCCCAGTTATGCAAACAAATCCACAAAACTTGAGAACAGCTTCATTGAGGAACTTTTTCTCCTTTTACCCAACTACGCCTACCGACTAAAAGAAGAGTGCAGCTGGCTGTGCAAAGTAGGAAGCTATTAATCTAACCACTTGGTTGTGAGCATGAGCTTCTTGTCATGGGCAGATTCACTCTTCCTTTTGCACAGTGTCATGTGTAGTTTGAGGAAAATAGTTTGACCACCTTAAAGCAAGTGCTGTCCAATTTCATCATATTCAAGAGGAGGCAGACATCGCTCTCTCTATATAGAGTCTTAAAGGCCTAAGCCTTCAGCTCCTCATTCTCAATACATTTTACACCTGTTGAAGTACGTGTCGACAGCACCAACTGTTGGCAAATGTAGACTAAGAAAGCAGAAAGGAGAGACTCTGGGAGAGGGGGAGAAACAAACCACAGTGCCATCTCTGACGAGCCTGACGCCTGTTGCTATGCCGACCATAGAGAGGGAAGTGGCAAGAGGAGGGAGAGAGAGTGGAGTAGTGCAAGTGTGTGAGAGAGAGAGAGAGAGAGAGAGAGAGAGAGAG